AAAAAAATCACATCCGTCCCATTCACTTTCCCTTTTATTATTAATTGAAATGTAAACAATTTTCTTGCTGTATGAAGTGTTTGAAATGTATTGTGTGTCGATGTCTCAGCCTGACTGTTCACAGCCAGGTGACTTGACTCGTGATTTGTAATCATATACTCTACCGCCTCCTGGTGGTGCATCAAGGGAAAACCCCATATTTAGAGAAATTATCTTTTTCAGGATAAAATAAAACTTTGGAAGAACACATTTTAATCATTTTCTTTTCTTTATTTTTTTTAATATACATATTTAATTATTTTACTGTCTCGGCTCCAAAATGATCTGTTCCAAAGTGTCCAGTTTAGTGGTATTTTCTGGCCTGTTTGTCATAATTATGATTAAAAATGTGCGTGACTTTGTGTGTGAGATCTGTCTGATGGTGTTTTCCGTAACAGCGGCTGTCAGTCGCTCACTGGCTGTGTTGTCTCAGTGAAGCCTGTTATGTAATAAAATTTCTGTGCGTTACATCAAGTGCTGTGTGCGGCTCGCTTCTTGCATGAGGCTCAGCTGATCGCCTCTTTGCGTGGAGGGATCCCGATGACCCTGACTTGCATAGAATCGGCCGTGTGGAGCTATTTTCCTATGTCAAAGACGTAAATGCAGCAGCTGATATAAGCACGACTTTGCATCCGCGGATGAAGAGCCTTCCTGACCTCGTTTCATCCCCATCTCGCTGTTCTTCCTAACCAGCTGCAAGCCCCGCCCAACCACACGATGCGGGGCAAGCAGTAGATGAGGGTGCGCTCGTTTTCCTGTTCTGTGTTTGCCGGATCCATGCTTTTATATTCTTCACGCCACATTCAGACACCAGCCAAATGTCGCAGAACAAACGGAGACTTTGCCAGTCTCAATGGTCAAGTTTTGGTAACCGCGTGTAAATTGTAGCATCAGTTTCCAGTTCTTAAATGACAGAAGTGGTCTCCTGCTACTGTAGCCCATTTGCTTGAAGGTTCAACGGGTTTAGAGATGCTCTTCTGCACACCTTGTAGCGAGTGGTCATTCGAGTTACTCTTGCGCCCCCATCAGTTCAAATCAGTCTGACATCAACAACACACTGCTGCTCATTACAAGAGCAATATCTCTCATTCTTAATGCCCCCCACTGTAGCCAGCTTTGATAATTTTAGGTCCTCCTTTAGTATTATTCCAAAATTATGGAATAATTTTCTAATTATGCCAGATATCACAAGGTGTGTGTTCCATTTCTTATTACTTTCATTGTTCATGCTGTCAGAACACTGTGTAAAGGCACAAAATCTTCAGATGTAGAGATCCGGTAACAAAAAAATAGACACTTCTTGGTGTCTAATAATATAAAATGCTTTTAATACAAATTTTAATACTAAAATACCAGTAGTATTTGTTTTATATAAAATATTAATTTACCGGTCACACCGGAGCAGACAAACTAAACATACTTGTATGTTAACATATGCTAATCTGTTCTAAGTGACACACCCTGTGCCCAATGAGAGCGCCTACATGCTAATTTCTCGGAGCAGTGGAGTAAATGGGGGTGGGTCCTGAGCGTTTTCCTTTTTTTTCCGTTTCGTGTGTATGTTTTTTGACTAGCTGGAAATGGCGTCTCTTGGCTTCGAACCGTTCTAACTTTATCGCACAATAATAAACATAACAATATACACAGCTATTATCCCATAACATGGGGAGAAACTTTACTGGGAGGTTTTGGACGCTCTAGTTGGGAAGCATTACTGTGACCGCTGCAACTAAAAGGAGTTAAATCGCGGAGGTAATGATAAAGAAGCTTACAACTACCGTGTACAGAGGCTAACGATAGCTAGCTAGCGATAGCGGACGACTCAAGAAAGGGCTTGCCAACTGAGCTAGTCTACGCTAGCCGATAAGGCCACTTAAAAAACGGAAGAAAATTGAGACGGTGGTTCGGGTATTTGTGTTAAAATTAAGCTACTCTTATAGGCAGTTATCATCATAGAATGACGCGAGATGAACGTTTATGTTGGTAATTATATGTGGTGTGCTAACCGTAGCTTGCTGGCTACAGTAACACTGTTGGCTAACGTTAGCAGGGGTATCTGGCTGAGAGGGGGTGTGTTTCTGTCCGACTGGGTGTAAAAACAAACTAAAATACTCGGACAGTGGTTGGATATTTCATCTGTGTGACCAGAAACTTTTGTTTCGCTTCCAGAGAATAATGGAGGATTCTCATACACGGTACAGCAAGCGCCTGGTAAGTAACTTCACCCAACTGTTAAATCCCCGGATTCGTTGTTTTATGTTAGCAGGGCAACTTCTTCGTTTTCAATGCGGGTTTTTAATGGACAATAAGCGATTTAGTGAATGAGAACTGATATGTTTTCTTTAGAGCGGCCTGCTTTTCTTTTCTCTTTTTTTTTGGCACATTGTGTTCACGGTAATGGTCCCATTTTTGTTTTGTGTGGCACCCTAATGATAACGGCAGTGAACCTGTGTAAAGGCTCTGGGTTCAGGAAAAGGTCAAGTTCAGTGTCTAAACTGACAGCATTTGTGCTGTGACCCTGTTTCACCCTCTTCCCTGTCGATGTAAAGCAATAAACTCCAAGCTTACCGTCTGCGGTTTGTACTCAAAAAATGGCACCAGCTGATTCCTGTTATTACCGGGGCAGAGGTTCAATATTAGGTATATTTATATTATTAAAAAGACTTCTTGTCATTGTTGATTATTATTTTATTGCACGAAAACCTAATAAAAGCACACATAAATTGGTTGCTTAATACAATTTTTATTAATTATGCTTTCTTCTTTTATTGCTTTATCTGGAAGCTTTAGCTTTGGTTTCGTTGGTAATATTGACTTGCTTTAGTTTAATAGTAATAGGGACTGTGTGTTCTTTGAAAGTAAGGACTATTATATCTTAAATAATACTACATTTGTGGTGTAGAGATGGGGGTGGGGAGATCTGAGAACAGAATTCATGTGCTTCATCCATCTGTTTTGCCAAGCAGTGCACATAGGATGAATGGCAGGAGGGGAGTTAAAGGGGGGCAGTGTGTAGAAGATTAACCCCTGCTATTGTAATACTGTATTGTTTGTTTACCAGATGAACTGATTTTTGTGTCTGACTGATTGATGAATTTGGATGGGCTTACATCTATCCAGCTCTTTGCTTAAAGCTTTGATATTGCTAGTTTCAGTTTCTTTCTTTTCTTAAAAAATGTTGTGGTATAGGGCTAAAGTCTTGTTAAATGCCTATAATGAAATTTAACTTGATGCCAAAAGGTAATCCAGTTATTAGTGTTATAATAGTTTAAGTATATTGTAGTAATATACAGCTATTTTTCAGTGGTTTTCCTCTCAAGCACATTTAATTTATCCAGCTCTGTTATTTCTTTGTGTGTGCCTCCAATCAGATCTCGTCAGTATCAGCTGATTATTATAAATAAGATACCTTTACTATATGTGATGAAGTGTGTGGAAACTAGGCTAAAGTCTAAATTCTTTTTGTTTTATATTTTCTAAAACTTTCAAACATTTCTTTCTTCCTTTTCTATGAGTATTTAACTCAAGGTGTCAAACTGTGTTTCTTTTAGTTATTGTTGTGTAGTAACCATGAACACAGTTAAATACCCACTTGTACCACATTTGTAAACGATTAAGCTTATTATACAAAACTCCACCAGGTTCACAATACTCTGCTGATTGATCACAGTTGTCACAGGGTTATCGCCAAAGGCTGAAGGCTTTATCAAAACCTCTGCCAGGTCTAGGCCCATGTGGCTATGCTGACAGGGGATTCCCCCTCATAACTGAGAGTTATGCTGGATGTGGGTTTGAGACAAAATTGCACCTTGTTTATTTGCTTTTTATGCACTGGAAACTGTTTGGTAAACTGCAATTTTGGGACCTTGTTTTGAGAGATATCTGTTGACAGTGAAGTTAAGATCATGAAGCTGGGAAATACTGGAAAGTCCGGTTGTTGTTCTTCTTGGTGGATGGCTGTTGTGCGTAGCTGTAATTCTTGATTTGTGTCGCATAATTTATGAAGCCGTACAAATTTTTACCTTAATATAATTTATATTTTTCTGAGACTCAAGCCCCCAGGGTACATCTTACTCTAATAGTTATAGCGTATGCATGTATGTCTGTTCACTAGCTTCTCTTCTATGCGTTAACCAATCTGGATGAAGGTTACTATATAAACTGCCTAGAGTACCGGGATAATCAACATCTGTATAGTGTTTGGAAATTACTTTTAAAACATTCAAATTCTTAGAAATTCTATATATTATCTGTAGTCGCTGATCTCAAAACAAATGGGAACATTAGATCTACGTTACATGTTGTATTTTAAAAATATTTCTTGCAGTGTCTGTAATTGATTATTTTGTCTTATACATTGAATATGTAGCTTTCAAATATGAACTGTAAACATGTTTTTAGTGTATATTCATTTGTTTGGTGTTTGTGAGCAGGGTTTTTTTTTTTTTTTTGCCATATGAAGATAAAAGGAATAAAATGATAAATTAACAAACATGTCTATTTTTTTTTAATTCTGTGAAGTTAAAACTTTATTAAGTTTTATTAAGTTTAAGTTTTTGTGAAACTAAACCCCGAGCCATTTCTAAGGGTTTGGATGGCACAGACTTTAACTGAAAACCTTTATTTGTCTTCAGCGTACGCGAACACAGCGCCGCTATCAGGACGATGGAATCTCCGATGATGAAATTGAAGGAAAGCGAATGTTTGACCTGGATGAAAAGCTGGAGTGTGAGAGATTCGGCAGTGACTTGATCAAACACATGGAGGGTAAAGGTGAGACTAGTGTACTGAAATTTATTTTTTATTTTTTTAAAACAGAACCTTTTGTGATTATATCTAGAGCTCTGTGAGATGAGTTGATGTGTTATTTTTTTGTAAGAGTCTATCTACAAATTTCTTGTCCCTTGGGGGTTTTTGTTTTGTTTTTGATATGTGTATCTTTTTTCTAGAATTCACATTTGAATACATCCAGAGGGAAGGACTCAGGGATCCCATTATCTTCAAGACTACTGATGGCCTTGGCATGCAGTAAGGGACTGGTTTCATTAGAAAACTCTTCACTGTGTGTCTTTCACCAAAGAAAAGTAATAGTAAAATTATTACCTCTCTTACAGAATGCCAGATCCGGATTTTAGCGTGAGTGATGTCAAGTTGTTTGTTGGTAAGTTCCTATTTTATCCCCATTCAGAGGAAGCAATTAACCAGTAGCCACAAACCCAGCCTCAGGGGTAACGCGCTAGTGTACTCCTAGTGCCAATCCTAAGCTTGGATAATTGGGAGGGTTGCATCAAAAATTGCATTCACTAAATTTTTTTTTTACCAGAAAATGTGGCAGCCCACCTAAGCAGCAACATTTTATCGGCAAGAAAAATATAAAGCCATGTCACTAAAACCACAGCACTACAGCAGAAAGCCTAAATATTTTCTTTTTTGTTTTTATGACACTGCCAGATGGAATCTTAAAATATAATTACACTTTATAATAATATTTTTATACTTGTAAAATGTTTTTGCACTACATTGTTCAACTTAAAAATATTGTTTTTACTAATCTTATTGTTATTGTTATAATCTTTTTTTTTTTTTTTTTTAAACGCCTCTTGATTTGATTTTTTTTTTTTTTAATTTTTGCACCCATGACAGCCCCACAGAGCACTGAAGAGTTGATTTTTAACTTGTGTACTGTTCTGCTCATTGTGGCTCCAAAACGTAGTAATGTTTTTTTTTTTTTGTTTTTTTTTGTTGGTTTGTTTTGTTTCCAAAAATTTGTGCATATTGGGGGAAAAAATGGAGTAAAGGTTTACAAAATATCCATTATAAATTGGTGAGTAGGGCTGGGCGATCAATGGCGATATACGATATATATCTCGTTTTTTAATTTTTTTAATTTTTAATTTTTAAGCCATAAAGTAAGAACAAAAAAAGAGTTCTTAGTCCAAGCTGTCCCAGATGTCACACAGGCACTTTTATTAACATTCAGCATAGATGTACGTAAAATAAGTTATCAGCATTTATTAAATAATAATGCTCCATAAATAAAATAACAGTGTTGTTTTTGTGCATAACAAAAAGCTCACAATTGTGCAGTCAAAATGC